GCATTTTAGGATTGCCCATACCCTAATCTAATCGTCATAAACAGTTCCCGCACTCCGGACAGCTCGCCTTGACTACTTCCTTCACCACTTCCTACGTCGCGGACCTGATTTCCTCACTTCCCATATCATTTTAGGATTGCAGATACCTTAATCTAATCATCATAAACAGTTCCCACGCTCCGGACTACTCGCCTTGACTACTTCCTTCACCACTTCCTACGTCACGGACCTGTTTTCCTCCCTTCCCATAGCTATTTAGGTTTGCCCATACCCTTATCTAATCGTCATAAACAGTTCCCGCACTCCGGACAGCTCGTTTTGACTACTTCCTTCACCACTTCCTACGTCGCGGACCTGTTTTCCTTCCTTCCCATAGCATTTTATGATTGCAGGTACCTTAATCTATTCGTCATAAACAGTTTCCACACTCCGGACAGCTCGCATTGACTACTTCCTTCACCACTTCCAACGTAGCGAACCTGTTTTCCTCCCTTCCCATAGCATTTCAGAAATGCAGACACCTTAATCTAATCGTCATAAACAGTTCCCACGCTCCATATTACTCGCCTTGACTACTTCCTTTACCACATCCTACGTTACGGACCTGTTTCCCTCCCTTCTCATAGCATTTTAGGATTGCAAATACCTTAATCTAATCGTCATAAACAGTTCCCACACTCCAGACAGCTCGCCTTGACTACTCCCTTCACCACTTCCTACGTCGCGGACCTGTTTTCCTTCCTTCCCATATCCTTTTAGGATTGCAGATACCTTAATCTAATCGTCATAAACAGCTCCCACACTCCGGACAGCTCGCCTTGACTACTTCCTTCACCACTTCCTACGTCGCGGACCTGTTTTCCTCCCTTCCCATAGCATTTTAGGATTGCAGATACCTTAATCTAATCATCATAAACAGTTCCCACGCTCTGGACAGCTCGCCTTGACTACTTCCTTCACCACTTCCTACGTCACGGACCTGTTTCCCTCCCTTCCCATTGCATTTTTGGATTGCCCATACCCTTATCTAATCGTCATAAACAGTTCCCACACTCCGGACAGCTTGCCTTGACTACTTCCTTCACCACTTCCTACGTCACGGACCTGTTTCCCTCCCTTCCCATAGCATTTTATGTTTCCCCATACCCTTATCTAATCGTCATAAACAGTTCCCGCACTCCGGACAGCTCGCCTCGACTACTCCCTTCACCACTTCCTACGTCACGGACCAGTTTTACTTCCTTCCCATAGCATTTTAGGATTGCAGATACCTTAATCTAATCGTCATAAACAGTTCCCACACTCCGGACTACTCGCCTTGACTACTTCCTTCACCACTTCCTACGTCACGGACCTGTTTCCCTCCCTTCCCATAGCATTTTAGGTTTGCCCATACCCTTATCTAATCGTCATAAACAGTTTCCACACTCCGGACAGCTCGCCTTGACTACTTCCTTCACCACTTCCTACGTCGCGGACCTGTTTTCCTCACTTCCCATATCATTTTAGGATTGCAGATACCTTAATCTAATCGTCATAAACAGTTCCCACACTCCGGACAGCTCGCCTTGACTACTTCCTTCACCACTTCCTACGTCGCGGACATGTTTTCCTCCCTTCCCATAGCATTTTAGGATTGCAGATACCTTAATCTAATCATCATAAACAGTTCCCACGCTCCAGACAGCTCGCCTTGACTACTTCTTTCACCACTTCCAAAGTCACGGACCTTTTTCCCTCCCTTCCCATAGCATTTTAGGATTGCCCATACCCTAATCTAATCGTCATAAACAGTTCCCGCACTCCGGACAGCTCGCCTTGACTACTTCCTTCACCACTTCCTACGTCGCGGACCTGATTTCCTCACTTCCCATATCATTTTAGGATTGCAGATACCTTAATCTAATCATCATAAACAGTTCCCACGCTCCGGACTACTCGCCTTGACTACTTCCTTCACCACTTCCTACGTCACGGACCTGTTTCCCTCCCTTCCCATAGCTATTTAGGTTTGCCCATACCCTTATCTAATCGTCATAAACAGTTCCCGCACTCCGGACAGCTCGTTTTGACTACTTCCTTCACCACTTCCTACGTCGCGGACCTGTTTTCCTTCCTTCCCATAGCATTTTATGATTGCAGGTACCTTAATCTATTCGTCATAAACAGTTTCCACACTCCGGACAGCTCGCATTGACTACTTCCTTCACCACTTCCAACGTAGCGAACCTGTTTTCCTCCCTTCCCATAGCATTTCAGAAATGCAGACACCTTAATCTAATCGTCATAAACAGTTCCCACGCTCCATATTACTCGCCTTGACTACTTCCTTCACCACATCCTACGTCACGGACCTGTTTCCCTCCCTTCTCATAGCATTTTAGGATTGCAAATACCTTAATCTAATCGTCATAAACAGTTCCCACACTCCAGACAGCTCGCCTTGACTACTTCCTTCACCACTTCCTACGTCGCGGACCTGTTTTCCTCCCTTCCCATAGCATTTTAGGATTGCAGATACCTTAATCTAATCATCATACACAGTTCCCACGCTCCGGACAGCTCGCCTTGACTACTTCCTTCACCACTTCCTACGTCACGGACCTGTTTCCCTCCCTTCCCATTGCATTTTTGGATTGCCCATACCCTTATCTAATCGTCATAAACAGTTCCCACACTCCGGACAGCTTGCCTTGACTACTTCCTTCACCACTTCCTACGTCACGGACCTGTTTCCCTCCCTTCCCATAGCATTTTATGTTTCCCCATACCCTTATCTAATCGTCATAAACAGTTCCCGCACTCCGGACAGCTCGCCTCGACTACTCCCTTCACCACTTCCTACGTCACGGACCAGTTTTCCTTCCTTCCCATAGCATTTTAGGATTGCAGATACCTTAATCTAATCGTCATAAACAGTTCCCACACTCCGGACTACTCGCCTTGACTACTTCCTTCACCACTTCCTACGTCACGGACCTGTTTCCCTCCCTTCCCATAGCATTTTAGGTTTGCCCATACCCTTATCTAATCGTCATAAACAGTTTCCACGCTCCGGACAGCTCGCCTTGACTACTTCCTTCACCACTTCCTACGTCGCGGACCTGTTTTCCTCACTTCCCATATCATTTTAGAATTGCAGATACCTTAATCTAATCGTCATAAACAGTTCCCACACTCCGGACAGCTCGCCTTGACTACTTCCTTCACCACTTCCTACGTCGCGGACATGTTTTCCTCCCTTCCCATAGCATTTTAGGATTGCAGATACCTTAATCTAATCATCATAAACAGTTCCCACGCTCCAGACAGCTCGCCTTGACTACTTCTTTCACCACTTCCAAAGTCACGGACCTTTTTCCCTCCCTTCCCATAGCATTTTAGGATTGCCCATACCCTAATCTAATCGTCATAAACAGTTCCCACACTCCGGACAGCTTGCCTTGACTACTTCCTTCACCACTTCCTACGTCACGGACCTGTTTCCCTCCCTTCCCATAGCATTTTAGGTTTGCCCATACCCTTATCTAATCGTCATAAACAGTTCCCGCACTCCGGACAGCTCGCCTTGACTACTTCCTTCACCACTTCCTACGTCGCGGACCTGTTTTCCTCACTTCCCATATCATTTTAGGATTGCAGATACCTTAATCTAATCATCATAAACAGTTCCCACGCTCCGGACTACTCGCCTTGACTACTTCCTTCACCACTTCCTACGTCACGGACCTGTTTCCCTCCCTTCCCATAGCATTTTAGGTTTGCCCATACCCTTATCTAATCGTCATAAACAGTTCCCGCACTCCGGACAGCTCGTTTTGACTACTTCCTTCACCACTTCCTATTTCGCGGACCTGTTTTCCTTCCTTCCCATAGCATTTAAGATTGCAGGTACCTTAATCTATTCGTCATAAACAGTTCCAACACTCCGGACTACTCGCCTTGACTACTTCCTTCACCACTTCCTACGTCACGGACCTGTTTCCCTCCCTTCCCATAGCATTTTAGGTCTGCCCATACCCTTATCTAATCGTCATAAACAGTTCCCACACTCCGAACAGCTCGCCTTGACTACTTCCTTCACCACTTCCTACGTCGCGGACCTTTTTTCCTTCCTTCCCATAGCATTTTAGGATTGCAGATACCTTAATCTATTCGTCATAAACAGTTCCCACACTCCGGACTACTCGCCTTGACTACTTCCTTCACCACTTCCTACGTCGCGGACCTGTTTCCCTCCCTTCCCATAGCATTTTAGGATTAACCATACCCTAATCTTATCGTCATAAACGGTCCCCACACTCCGGACTACTCGTCTTGACTACTTCCTTTATCACTTCCTACGTCGCGGACCTGTTTCCTTCCCTTCTCATAGCAATTTAGGATTGCAGATACCATAATCTAATAGTCATAAACAGATCCCAGACTTCGCACTGCTACCCTTGACTACAATAATATCGAGTAGTCTTCAGTATAATCTTTGCTAAATATTAACAAGGAATTATTTTCCTTTTGTACTGTATTTGTAATTTGCTACTATACTGTGGGTAGTTAGCTTATTACGAACGCATGCTACAACTTCAAGTCTTTTGTATACTTTTTCCTTGTTATTTAATTCAGCCAACATGGTTACCTAGCAACCCATAAGACTAATGTTAAAAAACGTGTGTGTAATTAGATTTTTGTTGGCAGTTCTAACTGCAGTAAACTCGTTTTTAGGCCAGAAATAAACTATTTACAACATTTGAAGAAAATCGTCGGAGCCGTTTTCGAGATCTTTTTTGCAAGCAAGCAAGCATACATACATACAAGCAAACATTGCTCGTATTAGATTATAGGATAGGATACAGAGTTGTGTTACTTTATAATTGGAGTTATCAACAAACAAATAACCAAATATTTTACAACAAATACAATAGATTAATTTTAAATCATCTCTATGAATGTTTTACTACTATAATTACATCTTGTTGTATTATAGTACATCAGCAAATACTCACCATGACATCAATGCCCAGCATATTCGTGAGCTCCGAGACTATCCCCGCCTTAAACAGAGTGAAGAACACAGTTCCCTGGTAGGTGTCACCAGCGTTCAGAAAGATGGTATTGTAGCTCTCCTTCTTCGCTTGCTGTTTGTATTGGTTCACGGCAGTCTTGAGGCGGGCGAAGCCCCCGTAGCATCGACCTCTGCCTTTATAACATAGTCCAGAATGTGCGTTGGTTTCCTCAAATCGGGCGTGCATGTCGTTCGTGTGGAGGAGAAGAAGTTTAAACTCGCAATTGACCATTGCCAGAGTTGCCGAGAGTAGAATAGTTTGAAGTAGTTGTGTCATTTTAGCGTTGCGTCTATTGTCGCAAAAATGTGATCAAACTGGATTGTATTCCGATCTTGGGTATCGGTAAACAAAAAAAAGTAAACAAAAGACTTGTAAGTTGAAACATGTGTTAATAAAGGCATCTACCCACAGTATACTAGAAATTACAAAATACAGTACAAAAGCAAAAACATCAGTTGTTACTATTAGCAAAGATTATGCTGATGATTACTGGATACAATGTTTGTAGTAAAGGTTAGCAGTGCGGAGTGTAGGAAGCGTCTGTGGCAGTTGGATTAATGTATCTAAAATACTTAAATGCTACGGGTAGATTTCCCATCCTTATGGAACAGCTGAAGCCAATTTTATTGTTAGTTCTGTCCGGTTTTCTGTAGATGTCGTTTTTGTCTACAATTTGTTTCTATTGTTTTAGGGTTAGTTTCTCATTATTTGTGTCTCACTGTTTGGTTATATAGCTAGTGGACGAGTTATTGTTTATGCTGGTTTTATTTGGTTAAACGAGGGTTTAAATTACTATGAAATAACAAGAAACAAATTGTAAACAAAACACGACATCTACAGAAAACCGGGCAGAACTAACAATAAAATTGGCTTCAGCTGTTCCATAAGGATGGGAAATCTACTAGGGGACTATGTTTTATCATGTTCTATCCATGCTTAAATGCTAAGAGAAGGGTAAGATATTTATGTAGTATGAAATTATGGAAAAGTGGTATGTCAATCATATGAGCTTTATGCAAGCGCATACTTTGAACTATATCTCAACTCTAGAACGGTAAAAAGTGTAACACTATATCACTAGCTCGAAAAAAGTCGAATATATTTTATTCTTATTGTGGCCAACTTGGTTTAAAATCTATAGTCGACTCAATCCGGTTGGATTGTATTATGTCATTATGTATTATGGCAAAACTAATACTAAAATAAAAATGACAAAACTAATACTAAAATAAAAATGTTGCATTATGCACATGTGGTTAAAAGTCACATGTTTGTGATTAACGTATCAACAATAGAGTTTTGTTTGTAAACATCTTGCCTCAAAAAAATCGTAAGCGACCTCGTCCAGCATTGGTTTAGCATTAGCGCGCAGGTCGTTTTCTAAGCGGCCGAACGGAAATGTACTCAACAAAAAATCTGAAATCATGAAAAGAGGACGACCACCAAATAGAAGTTTGAAGAAGTTGGGAAATTTCTTTGAAAGTCACAAAGCTGATGAAGACCAGGTAAGTTATAAAATATATACCTTAATTAATTTAATTACATACATTAAATTCGTGTGGTATGTCATATTACTAGCTTACACCACGAATACAGAAATTGGAATAGAGATGCTTATTTTATATTTCTCTATAAAGCTCATTGTGTGAGGTATGTTAAAAAGTCAGATGACAATTTTTATGATTGGTAGTTAAAAATTATTAACTAATTAAAACTGATCAAGTAGTTGATTATATATGATTCAAAGAACATAACATTCTTTTTTATTTAATTGCAAAGCTAATGGACACACGTTTAGCCTAAATGTTATAGAGTCCCAACTAGAAGAAAATGTGAGCTTTTTACAATTTTGTAAACATCATTATTAACATTGAAATAGTTGCATATTTCGTTTACGTCAATTGTTGACAACAAAAAACCAAATTACAAGAGACGGTATGACCCACAACTAGATCCGAATAACCCAGAATCTTCGCACGTCCATGCGGTGTACCGTAAAAACAGTGGTGGACAAAAAGTTACACGGGACAATAGACACGTTGCTCCATACAATGGCTATTTACTGAAGAAATACATGTGTCACATAAATATTGAATATATGTTGGTAGTGTTAGAGCCATTAAGTACCTCTATAAATACATAAAGGGCATGACAATAAGACCTCTATAAATACAAATTTATAAAGGGCATGACTGCGCAAATGTAAAAATTGTTGAAAATGTGGCCCGAATAATGTATAATGAAGCAGAAACGTTTGTTGAGGCACGTTATATTTCGCCCCCTGAAGCATGTTGGAGGCTAGCTGGAAATGAAATCCAAAGGAAAAGCCATTCGGTGCAACGTTTGGACATCCATCTAGAAGGTCAGTACCGTGTGGGAAACATGGAACAGACACAAGAAGATGTAGCAGACACCGGCCTGAAAGGTTCCACCTTAGAGGCGTACTTTAAACACAACTCTAAACTTCACATTGAAGAAGAGAATGGGAATGAAGTAAACTACTACTTCTACTGGCAGATGCCAGAAAAGTACAAATGGTTAGGCAAAACAAGTGAATGGGTGGTACGACAGCGAAGCTCAAAAACTATTGGAAGGATCCACACTGTGAACGTGGTGGCCCAACCAGAATTTTTATCACTTAAGAATGCTCCTCTTTCACACCAAAGATTCCAAAAGTTTTGAAGACCTTAAATTTGTAAATGGGACTGCCTATTCCACTTATAAACAAGCATGCCTAGCAAAAGGCCTTACATATGATGACCGGCAATGGATTGATGGTCTGCGGGAATCCGCTTTATCAAAGATGCCGAGTGTCATGAGGACACTCTTTCGCCAAATCTTGATTCTCGGATCACCAGATCCCTGGGATATGTTTAAGGACGAGTTGGCAGAAGATTTTCTTAAAGAAGCAGAGATTTCTGGAACCCCTCTAGAAGATGCTTACAACAGAGCATATAGAATCATAGCTTACAGGCTAAATACTGAAGCTACAGAAGGTAATAATCTACTTATAAATATTACAAAACTTAAATTAAGTTTCTTTTAAGTGGATACCCCTTCAAAATTTGTAATATATTTATTTACATTTTATTTTAAATGATAATATCTTTCTCTTAAACTGACAGCGAGTAGGTTAAGCCATGCCGATGGTCAATGAATGTTGCCTATTGGTCTACCAATAGGATTGATTGGAATATCAATCTTTAGTGAATTAATTCAACATATCATACGTAATACCATATCAATATTCAATTATTTTAATGTCTTTAAAAGTCATTTCAGTATAATTATCAAAGATGATCTTATACAGTCCTTAATATAGGGTGATTACCGAGAAACGCATGTTTTTCAAATAACGAGTACTCAGGTAATTCAGAGGAAAAAATATATTTATGAGTGGAAAACCCGTGTACACAATATGCAATTTCAGAATAAAATTACTTACAATTTAGCATTTAAAAAATACATCTCTAAGGTGGTCCCCTTCTGCTTGGATACAGTGTGAAGGCGATCCTTAAAACTTGCTACGGATTTTGATGACATATCTAGGAATGGCGTTGATTTCCTGGCAAATAGCTTCTTTAAGTTCCTGTATTGTTTTTAGCTTGTAACAAAAATTTACACGTTGCCTCTTATCTGCTTGACTCAATCGATGACATACTGCCAGCTTGAAAGGATGAAACTTATGATATTTTACCAAAATCTTTCTCACAGTGGATGGGCGAAGTCCAAGAGCAGATGCCCGCTTCCGAATTGAGGGGCTAAGACTCTGAACTATTTCAGGAGGTTTCTTCTTAAACAAAGATCCAGTTGTGTTAACATTATGTATCCAGCGCAATATCGTGTTATGATCAGAGATAACACCATGCAGTGCAATGTTAAAATGTGCACGAAAGTCTCGCTGAGTCTGAAAGACTGATTCGCCATTTGCGTAATATCGTCGCATGACAAACGTACGATGCTCAAGGTTACACATCTCGGCAAAAACTGAAACTGCACACTTCCCCCTACACATCGCAACAACTTCCGGCCATCGCCGAACGATATTCCTTGTATACTACGAAAGTCAAAAACATGCGTTTCCCAGTAATCACCCTATATTATTTCTTAATCACAAATTTATAAAAAACAGATTTCAGAATCAAACCTTTGCAGAAATTTGTATAACAGTCTTTAAAAATTAACCTAAAATATGTTAATTTAATATAAAAAAATGGGTTGGAAATTTGTGTGTGTTTTAAATAAGAGAGCACAAACCCCATTTAATCATATGACACATATTATTCTAACCATTGTTGTAAACAGTACTTTAATTTGGGAGATATGGACCTTGAAACATACATCATTGCGGATTTTCCAGCAAAATAAACCCTCTTAATAACAAACATTTTGAGCCTTTGGGTGGTGATTGATCACCTAATCACTCCCAATTATTTATCCAAATTCTTTCAGCTTTATTAACTTATCGTTATTTGTGACGTGTTACAAAAACTTTAATGTCACTTTTTAGAAATTTTTAACACTTAAACGTGCTTATTTTAGGACGCAACTTCCATTTTTGGGTAGAGAACTATGGAATGGATGATATTAATGACTTCGAGTTGAAAGAGGAGGTTTTCAACGTTGGGCAATCTCATGCAATTGGCCATCGCCTCTACAACAACCTCAATGATAAGCAGAAGGAATTTGTTGATGCTGTCATCCAAACACTTGATGATGAGAGTTCAGGTACAGTACACTGTTAATAAACTGAGAAATTCAGGTTCGAGCCTACCTAGGATACCAATAACCTTGAATAGTAGGGATGTTACTTTAATATTTATAATAGTATGTTTTGAAACCATTTAAATAATGGTCAAGCCTTTTTTATTTACAAGTAATTGACATAGTTAGTTATAAAAATAATAGTTTATTAACTATATAAACTACCTGCACCATAATCCAGTTTCAATTTTGAAATAAAACATATGGTTAACACATATTATTTGTTGCAAAAAAATAAATAACAGAATCCTAGAGCATCAGATTTTAGAAACCCGCAGACTTGGATAATATAAGCTAGGATAATATGAAGTTAACTGTAAATTGTACATTTTGGTTTTTAATCAATGTCATCTGATTTAATTCATTTTTAGCTTCAATTTTATATACTATCTTTATACTATTCAAACAATGTCACCAGTTTTAAAACCCTGACAGTAACAAAACGTAATGTTGTGATAGTATATATGAATTGATTTGTTTTCAGGACCAAAATGTTTCTTCCTTGATGGACCTGGGGGTACAGGGAAAACATTTGTCTACAAAACCTTGTACCACCTCTGCCGAAGTCGAAACACCATTGTTAAATGCATGGCATTTACAGACATTGCATCCATACTTCTGCCAGAAGGACGCACGACCCACAAGACATTTGGCCTCAAAGTTCCTTTGACTAATGATTCAAAATCATCAATCAATCGTGGATCTTCAAAATTCAAGGAATTGGAAGCAGTCAACATGTTCATGATGGATGAAGCACCAATGCTGCCTAAGTACGGCCTTGATTGTATGGACCAGCTCCTTCGAGATTTAGGTGATAGAAAATCCCCATTTGGCGGAAAAAATTATGATTTTAGGAGGAGATTTTCAACAGTTTCTGCCAGTCCAGCCAAGGGCAAATCGTATTGAACTACTCGACCTTTCCATCAAGAAAAGTGTTCTCTGGAGGTACTTCAGGGTTTTCTCTCTGGAACAAAATATGAGAGTTGATGCAGAAGAGGAGTGCTTTGCTAGGTGCCTACTGAAACTTGGAAATGGAGAGCTTGATACCAATGCTAATAGTGAAATTGAACTCCCTAATGACATAATCTCTAATACTAATGACATTGTTAACGAGATCTATGGAGAATGTCTCTCCGACGGAAACTTTTAGGACATGAAGGATCGAGCAATTCTTGCACCCCTAAACAAGGACGTCGACGCAATTAAAATACCGTTATCAATTTAATTCCTGGAACCGAGACCATTTATAAAAGTTACGATTCAATTAAAGATGAACCGGAAGGTGCCTTAAAGTTCCCCCCAGAATTCCTAAACTCTATTGAGATTTCAGACCTACCACCGCACCAGCTCAGACTAAAAAGTAACACCATTATCAAGCTCCTTCGTAACCTCGACGTCTCAGAGGGTCTGTGCAATGGCACTAGACTGATAGTTACAGCACTGTGTCCTAATATAATAATACCCCCGTCGCAGCAAACCTGCATACTAAGCGAATTTCCATTTACCTGGCTTGATTTCTACTAAAATATTCCCTATACATTTTCAGATTTATTTCCTATTTAAATAACATTAATTTTAGTGAGTAGTTAGGTTTGCTGCTACGGGGAAGATGTTGAGGTGTGTTTTTTTGAATTGAAATATTGATAGCTTAGTATGAAATAAGCCAAATTTGATTAAAATATATCCATAAACAAGCAAACTCCAACAGTTTATTTATTCTCCATAAGAATAACATGGGAATTTTAAATTAACAATTTTTTTAAATTTTCTCCGTAGTCAATGAACATTCAAAAAAACTTCAATATACTAAATTATTTGTTTTTTTAAGCTCTTCAAAATGGTCTAGAGAGAAATTTAGAAATTTAAAGTTTTTAGGGTCAAAAATGAGAAAAACCCATTTTTACCCCATAAAACCCCCCATAAACCCCTGATCCCATGGTCCGATTATGCTGGTTCGCGAACTCGTTCGAATAAATGTAGGTTTACATGTTTGTACCAAATTTCATCAAAATCGGATCAATTTTGCTCGAGTTATCGCGCTAACGGACACATATATAAATATATATATATATATATATATAAATATATATATATATAAATATATATATATATATGAATTTGAACGGATGGTGTTTTTGGCCTCTGGGGACCTCAAAACGAACAAGTAAATCGGTCCCGGGTCTAGGTCTTACCATGAGACCTACGGTAATAGCTTATTCCCTATATGGGAAATTCGCTAAAAGCCAAGATTATCACTGGTGAACACTCTGGCCAAGACGTGCACATACCAAGAATCACCCTTGATTCAAGCAAGTCTCAGCTAGGGTGTTCACTATAAAGACACCAATTCCCTATTCGGCCAGCCTTTGCGATGACAATCCATAAATCGCAAGGGCAAACATTGAAATATGTTGGCGTCGTGCTAGAAACACCTGCATTTATGCATGGTATGCTATACGTTGCATTTTATAGGGTGAAGCGGAGAAGTGCATTAAAATTGGTGTTACCGCCAGGAACAGATAGTCGCACTCGCAACATAGTGTGGACCGAAGTTTTTAATTGATGTGGTTCGTGTATTTGAGAAAAGATTTTTGTTATATTATAATATTCTATTTTTCTTGCACTATTTTTTTATTTGGTTTGTTGTAAACATTTTCTTTGATAGTTAGTTTTATTGAAGGTATGCATTGTACTGTATCAGATGTAAGCAAGTTTTTTACTGCTCTTTAGGGATACTTTAAATGTATTGAAATATTTTAGAATATTTCATTTTCATAGAATAATTCTATATTCTTATGTGAGCAATGTTTGCTTGTATGTATACTTGTATGTATGCTTGCACAAAGAACTCAAAATCGGCTTTGACAATATCCTTTAAATGTTGTAAATAACTTATTTCTAGCCTAAAAACGTAATTG